AGGAAGAGGAGAAGGAAGAGTGGAAAGAACAGTATCTACTGAAAAAAGGGGAATCTTTGGAGCCCAAAGATGAGAAAAAGAAAGAACAAAATGAGCGGGAACAACAACTACAGAAGGAAGAGCTCAAACTGGAGGCTCTGTTGTCAGGTGTCAGGTCAGAGATACCTTCTGTTTCCAGGCATAGTGTGGACCTGTGTCGTTTGGAGAGTGACTTTTTGGTTGAGGAGACAGAATCAGCACTTCATCCTGGGGAAGCTGTCTCTGTGAATCAGCATACTGGTGAGGATGTATTGCTGAAAGCTCATGTCATACAAGCAGGTTCTGGATGTCAGCCACTTGCTGTCAGCCCTCTGTCCTCAAATAATCTGAGTCCAGTGTTGCCTCCAGACACAGGCCATATCTCTGACCAGGCAGAAGACCTGGAAGACTCTGGCCGCTTTTCCATTGGTGGTCAGGATATTGGAGAAGCTGACTGGGATGACAGGACAAGACTGGGCAGGGAGGATGAGCACAGTGATAGGCATGGAAAGGCTGTCCAGAGGTTTGATAAAAGCAGTGCGTCGCTCCGTGGACGAGTGGCAGCACCTTCTAGCACAGAGAACAGAGAGGCTTCTGTTCCAGCACACCCTCCCTCTGGTACCCAGAACTTGATCCCACCTGATCCCATAGATCCTCATCCCATTACAGAACGCTTGGGAAGAGCAGAGCTTCAGGACTGCATTCCAGCTTTGCCCTCAGAGCTCACCCCTGTGGCTTCGATGTCTGGCCCACAGCCAGAGGGTGCTAATGGAACAGCCTCTGTGACCCCTGAGGACTGTCCTGGTGCCAACCTCAGCAAACTGCTAGGCTCTCTAGAGAAGCCAGTCAAGCAAGCTGCTTCTGTGCAAGTGCAGGACCCAGCGTCAGGGACAGCTGCTGTTCCAAGTCCTGACCCAGGGGAGGCCAGCACTTTCCATGAACTCCTTACTTCTGAGGAGGGCTTTCATGAACACCTTCGTGGCCCGTCTTCTTCCTCTGTAATGCACAAGAGCTGTCTTCCTCTGGAGGGGAGCCTTCCTGAGGACAGGAGGACTGTGCCTATCACTGCAGGGCCTCTGGAACCACCCCAGACACCAGGCAGGACTTCCACCCCCCTAAGCCACCCAGGGACAATTCAGCAAACCCCCACAGAAAAAGGGGTTATTATCCATGGAAAAGAAACAGAAGCAAACGTGGATCATAAAACCCAAGAAATGCCTTTACTTGATCAGCCTGACTGCAGTTTAAACCAAAAAGAGCCTGGATCCAGAGTCTCCAAGGTCCTGAGCACACTCACCTGGCCCTCTGAAGAAGATACAGTCCTTGCTGTGAACCAGCAAGAACAACCTCTGTCCCCTGTGTCCCACTCACGCCTACCTCTGGTGTCTGAGCCTGATGCCAAACAGCTTCCTCATCCTCCTTCCCACGGCCAAAGCTCCAGTCAAGCTCAGGCCCCTGCACTTAATGCAAATCACTTGGCTCAACCTCCAGCCCTTGGACATTACCAGCCAGTGGCTCCTCTACCCTGCTCCATGCCACACCTCAACTGTGGTATGGACGATAAGAAGTTACTAGCCATTCACCCTACTAGAAGCCATCCTCTCCAGACTGCTGCCTCTGTGTCTGACACCATGGCCTCTGCTTCAGATGGAGAAGATGTAGCAGAGAAAGATGACCTTGTTCCGGTAAGCAGAGAGTGGGACCTTGGTGACTCAGGTACCCATGATGCAGAGACTTCTGATGACTCAGGGGTCAGTTTGTTGGCAAAAAGCTTTTCTGCTGTTGGAAATGAGGTGTTGTCTGGCTGCTCTGACACCAGCCCTGAAGCTGTGGACCAGCACATGGATATACAGTGTGGAAAATCCTCACCTGACCACCCTTCTTGGCCCTCGCTGGAAGGCCTAATAACGTCCAGAGACTCCAAGAGCAGAACCTCTGTACAGCCACTTCCCATGCTAGCATTCACCAACCCAATCCACTTCCTCCAGCTCAGCCCTCCATCACCACCAACCACCAGAACAACCTGCCAAGAGGAGGAGGTCTTTGGGGAGCTGCAGTGGGAGCAACAGGCAGGCATCTTTGGTGTGGACACAAAGAGCATCCAAGCTCCATTGGCAGTCACAGAGAAAACAGAAGGTGAGAGAAGGGTCAAGCAAAGGCTGGAGGGAGGAGGAGCAGAACACCACTTGGTAGCTCAGCCAAAGGCAGAGACGCCCAGACATTCACCCTTGGAAAAATCATCAAGTTGGCCAGACAAAAAAACGACCAGGGTGGCTGCACAGGAGCCAGCAGCTAATCAAGAAAACCCGATTAAACGGCGAGTGAAAAGCAAGGACTGGCACCGGCAGGGCCTGAGGAGGACATCTGGACCACCAGACATCTTGCAGGGTGAGTCTTCTCCTCCATCCCTCTGCCCCACCTGCCCGCACAGTTTATTGCAGATACCAAAACCATGGCACTGAAATCAATAGGCAATCTCCTTGTCCCTTCTCCAGGAACGAGTTTCTTGGTGGGGCTCAGTTCAGAGCTTCTGCTCATCATCTCTGCTGCCATCCCATGGCCATTGCATTTTCCTGCTCTTGTAGCAACCCCTTTCCATGCAGCTAGAAAACACGTGGACCTCTCCCTTCAGTAGCCCTAGTCCTAATTCAGTCTCTAGTAGCACCCCAGTTCTAGTTCATTGTTTATTTGCTACCTTCCTTTATTTTGCAGCTGACACCTTTTAGGTTCCAATTTGATCTTCTGAAAGAGATGATCTTCCTGAGGACGTAGGATTTGAGATTAGGGGCAAGGATGCAAACTTGTCAAACCCAAGGTCCCAGCTTGCACAGAAGCCAAATCACTGATGTCACCAATGGAGAACGTTGATCTTATGCAGTGCAGCTCATTCAGACAGCACTGACTGTCAGTAGGCATGGCTCTTCTGTATTGTATCTCACCTGAGCTTTGAATGCACTTCTCCCCAGCTCTGAGTTTATTTTCCAAGCTCCACAACGTGCTGGATTTTTGGCACAGAGGAAAAAGAGACGAGTGTGGAGGGGCGGGAAAGGTTTGGCAGCACTTGAGTCAAGATTTGTTCACATGCTTGACTTGTAAATTCTTGGCTCCAAATTGTAAAACATTCAAGGCAGCCGTGTGTCTTTCCCCTGACTAAAATCTCAGTCATTGGGCTTTCTTCCTCCTGCTTTCAATGAATTTTATACAGAATTTCTTCCCACCTTATTTGATTGAATCCCTTCCGAAACAGAACAAAACTCCACACTTTCCCCATTTTACACAAAGAGAAGATAACTCGTGCAGAATTTGTGAATGCTGACATGGCTCATAAACACAAGGATTTGCTGACAGCATTCACTCTCAGGCTGCGTCCCTTCTATGACTCTAAACAGGAGTGACGTTGTTAGATGTCCAGCATTTCTGCCCCAGAAGTCACTGGGAGTCTTTTGGGGCTCAGTGTCCACACAAGAAAGTCTAAGGCTTTCAGACATGACTAGCAACTTTGAATCCATTGATCCTCTGATGCCTGGCCCAGGTTGCTGAAAGGGGAAGGGCAGCACCAAATAGTGCCCACAGGTGCTGTGTCTTCACTTGGGCAACTGGAGAGGGAAGCTCTTGGAGTTACTGTCATTGCTGAAAATGTCAAGCTTTTTCTTTCTATGAAAAGCAAGTGTGGCAAAGTAACAGACATGTAAAATGTCAGTAATATCAAGGATTATTAAAACCAGAATGTTTCTGACCAAGACATAAGGGTCAGGAGGGCACATGTACTCCAATCCCAGACCATCACGTAGGCGGGGTATAGGTAAGTGCTGTCTGTGTATCTTTTGGATTGTAGCTTGGTCTAAAAATGGACTTATGTGTTCCCTTTCTAATTGTCTTGTGTACAGAAATTCCTTCTGTTCCTTCAGAGGAAGAGGCTCACAAGGCACACAAGGAGTTGCCAGTCAGTTCAGACACAGTTGTATTGCGGTAAGTCTCTTCTAAGGCCCTTAGACTCTCTCCCCACCCAAGTGCAGCTCAGACTCCTCATGCTCTCCATATTTCCTGAGGTACCAAAGATGATGATAAAGGGAAGAAGGCTATAATAAAATGACTTAGGCCTGTGTTTCTGTCTGCTCCCTCTGGGAGAGGACCCCATTGCAACAGAAGTATTTCTGTCCCTCTAGGACAGTGTTTCCATTAAGCCAAACCTTGTTCTTTGTTAAATAAAGCATGTGGAGCTTAAGTTTGTGGGCAAGAGAGGCTCTTGCTGTGACAGATCTGTTACTAAGATTTGGATAAGCCATCTCTGGTACTGTGCTCTTTGTTCATTGTTTGTTTCCAAATCCTTATTCCTTGACAGAGAGAAGAAACCTGCAGACACAATGGAGAACTTCAAACGCCGGCACTCCAAACTGATCAATTCCTGTAAGTACCTTCTGCCTGAAGTGCTGTGGCAGACTCCTCACTTCCATCATCCTCACCTGGGTGGTGAGCACAAAGGAGAGGGCCTCTTGCCACATGTAGCAAGGGGGGAGTGTTAGGGTTCGGTGGAGGCAGTGAAACCAGAGTCCTGCAGCACACTCAGGCAGCTGGTGAGCTTTGCTTATAGCCTGTGCACGTGGTCTGATCTGTTCAGTGACCCTAAGCTGAGACAGTAACAGAGTTTTCTCCAGGTTGAAGCAGAGGGTAAGCAGCTGCTATGGAAAGTACAAATCTGTATGTCTCAGCACACTCAGGCAGCTGGTGAGCTTTGCTTATAGCCTGTGCACGTGGTCTGATCTGTTCAGTGATCCTAAGCTGAGACAGTAACAGAGTTTTTTCTCCAGGTTGAAGCAGAGGGTGAGTAGCTGCTATGGAAAGTACAAATGTGTATGTCTCTCTTCACAGCAAGATTGCTCTATCAGGAGTACAGTGACGTGGTTCTGAACAAAGCCATTCAAAGCCAGAAGAGAGTGGATTCTTTCACAGAAGATCTAGAATCAAGTTTCCCAAGCTCCCCAAGGCTACGGAGGAAAGTGCTGTCTCCACAGGACTCGTATTTGCAACGTCTGTCAGTCTCATCTAATGCATCCCTCTGGCAGGACATCCCCATGATACGGGGCAGCAGAATGCTACTCAATATGTCCCGTGATGAGCAGAAACTTCAAGAGGTAACAGACAGACATAACAAGGTAGATGGGTGGTCTGTAGTCAAGAAAGTGTCCCCAAAAGGGTGGTTAAAGTGGAGAGCAAAAATTCTGATGTGAAGAGTGCAGGTGTTTGAATGCAGAGGTCACTTCTACCCATGCAAGCACTGTGGGGCATGTGGTACCAGTGCTTGTGAAGTGTTACAGTGCTGAAGGTCAGGCCTGTAGAAGAGAGGAGTGCTGAAGGACAGACTCTAGACCATATCTATGGACATGAGGAAATTTGAATCAGATAAAACAAGGGATTTTGAGCACGTTCAGTGCAAAGGAGAATATAAAATAGAAGACTTGCAGCATTCTTCCATGCATAAGCTCATGAGAGATGCCAGTAAACTCACACTGAACTGTAGTTCCTGTGGAAGAGTCCAAGTTTACTCAATTGGCCTGTGTGAGCTGCCAAGCTGAGAGGAGATGGGAAGCTGTAGGAGTTCAGCATAGAGACACTGGGTAAGGAAAATGAGAGGACCTGAGAGGAACAAAAAAAAAAAAAGGAAACACAAAAACACAATGGAGAAAAATGTGTGTGATGGAAAATTTATGGGAGCATGTAAAACAGGGAACCTAGTGAAAAGAGTTGAGATGGGATAAAAAGTAATAGGAGAGCAGGTAGCTATTTGTCTCTTAAGTCATAACACCAGTTTGTCTTTTAAAGAAAGGAAGACTATTTATAATGGCATGCTTGTCCTTCATTCCAGAAGACTCTTCTGTCCTTACACACTGCTTGCATCACGTACTGGCTTTCTTGCTTTGCCCATCTCCTCTCTGTAAGGCTCCTCACAGGTTTGTGCACTGTAGTGACACTGGGCCCCCTTCTTTCATCCCTCAAGGCCAAGTTTGAGCTGATCATGTCGGAGGCGTCGTACCTGCGGAGCCTGAACGTGGCCGTGGATCACTTCCAGCGCTCGGCAGAGCTGCAGGCCATGCTCTCCAACCAGGAGCGGCAGTGGCTCTTCTCCCGCCTCCACGACGTCCGCGACGTCAGCGCCAGGTGAGACACGACCCTGAGCTTCCAGCACGACCACCCAGTGAAGCACTGACCCACCCCATCGTGGGGTTTCCACCCGTGTAACGTCCCTCGCTCCCGCTCCCTGCCGTCGCTGACCTGCGAGGCAGATGGACGCACGCAGCACTTTGGGACTGCCTACCAACGCTGTCCTGAAAGGAAGGTTTGCCTTTTTAGGGGACAGGGCAGTGGAAATCTTGGTGTTGCGTCCCAGATGCTGTGGTGCAGTGGTGCACAGAGCTTCACTGCAGATCAAAATGTTCAAAATGCTACTGTAGTGATGCGCTGTGGGCTTCAACTACAACTGCACTAACTAGACCTCAGCCCAAACCGAACGCAGCTCCTGCCAAATACAAGACAAAAGAAGCAGCTGCATGAGACCTGAAAAAAAAAAAGGGTGAGGGGGAGGAGAGGGGAGTGGGAAAGTATGTTACAGCCATCACTTGACAGAACCTAATGCGAATCAACTGAGCATAAGTCATAAAATGTAGACATGACTCCACATGCAAGGAATCCTGTATGTTGTAGGATTCTGTTCTGCTTTTCTCTTGCAAGGCTTGGTTACATATATTGCTAAACTAGTGAGGTTTGCTGCTACCTTTTCCATTTCTATGAGTGGGACTCTACTGGTGATGTCTTAATTTCAGTTGTTTCCTGACCATGCCTTCAGAAGTATGACCTCTCAAGAACAGAGAGGTTCTTTTGCCTCTGCTTTTTCCTTGCTGATAACTAGCCCTAAATTTTCATTGTATGAGTATTACGCTTTCTCCAGAAGTAAAGAGCTGTCTTGCACTCCATATGTGGGCCGCCAGGATTTTAGAGGACTGAGGCTGTTCTTGCTTAACTAAGTGACACTGCTATTTCCCTCTCCTTTCACGGTATCACAACCACGTGCCGCAGTTTCCTCTTTGACTTGGAGGAGAAGTTTGAGGAGGACATGTTCACCTTCCACGTGTGCGACGTGGCTCTGAAACATGCCCCCGAGTTCCGCAGGGTGTACCTGCCCTATGTGACAAACCAGACGTACCAGGAGCAAACCTTCCAGCGCTTACTGTAAGTTGCCTCATTTGTCGCACCCTTCTCCGCCCTTACTTCCTTGCTGCACCTCAAATAGTCACTCTTTCAAACGATGGGGAATGCTGCAGGTACAGACTGTTGGCCAATGCTCTCACTTTGTCCCCAGAAGAGCAGGCAGGAATTTGGGACAGCGGGACACAGCTGCCGTGGGCTCCTCTCCGGTAGCATTGGAAAGGGAAAGAATATTTAATATCTGATTCTGTTGCAGGCTGTTCTCTGTCTGCACTTCACAGAAGAGAACAAAAATGGCTGTCATGGATAATGGTTTTCAGCCTGTGGTTTGCAACCTACTAAGAACCAGAAAGTGATAATTTCAATTGAAATTTCAAACTGAACCATTCTCTGTCTCTGTGATTAAGAAAAGTGTGGCTGATGTCAGTAAGCTTACACTGGCTATCCAGGAGTCTTTACAATGGATTGAAAATCCTGGGGGTTTTCAAAACACTGTTGGTCTCTCTTGTTTTGGGTAGTAGAGTGGGACATCTCTTGCCCTCCTTTTCTGTACTCAGTGACATCTTGCTGTCCTACAGCTGTTGGAAACCCATACTTGCTCTGCTTCAGCACAGAGGTAGAGTTTCTTGACATGTCTTGCCTCAGGGACAAAACCTGACTGTTGGGAGTCCTCCAACACTCGCTGAAATCTGACACGAGGAAGACATTTATTTGCTGTGATGCCTAGATGTCTTCTTTCTTTACAACTCTTGCAGAAATGGAAACGCAGGGTTCCAGCAAGTCCTGGAGAGGCTGGAAAGTGACCCAGTCTGCCAGCGCCTCTCACTGAAATCCTTCCTCATCCTCCCTTTCCAGCGCATCACCCGACTCAAACTCCTGCTACAGGTAACTGTTGATTCTCTGCTTTCCTGCAGTTTCTCTCAAGCTGCTCCTTCTTCAAGAATGCAAGTTGTACATGTGAGCTGGCTGCAGGCACTGAGCAGAAGGATTTCACCCAGCCCTTCATATTGCATCTGCAATAAGTTGGGCAAGGTGCTCAACTTTTCAGGGATGCCCTGTTCAGTGCAGCTTATCAGTGACATTCTGCATCTCAAATTCCTGGCCTTGTTACCTCGACATCTCCCCACCTATCATTGTTGTAGTTTCCTTTGAGGCTGCCATCTTGGTGTCTCCTTGTTTCTCCTGCCATTCCCAGATACATAGGTCCAGTTTACCCTCTTTGTGCTATGCAAAACATCTTTTCTCCTGCAGAATATCCTGAAGAGAACTCGGCCTGGGTCTGAGGAGGAAGTGCAAGCAACACAGGCTTATGATGCACTTGAAAAGGTAAGCCTCTCAGCCTGTTCTGCTGCCCTGCAGAGAGGGCTCTGGGGGTTTTAGTTGATGGTACCCTCAGTGTGAGTCAGCAGTGTGCCCTGGCAGCCAAAAGGGCCACCTGTATCCTGGGATGTATTAAGCACAGTGTAGCTCATTGGTTGAAGGAAGTGATTGGCAGTGTGTAAAAAGTGTTTGGACAATGCTTTTGGATAGATGGTTTAACTTGTGATTAGCCCTGTGTGGAATCAGGAGTTGGACTCGGTGATCCTTGTGGGTCCCCTCCAGCTCAGGATATTCTGTGATCTTCCACAGCTGTGTTGTGTCACACAGCTGCAGGGCACAGAAGTGGCCCAGTGCTTTTCATTGATCCTCACCCTTGAGGAGAGGCCTTGTCATTGATCCTCATGAGGAACAAATTGGCATGTTCATCTGACTCTTCTGCACGTGATGTGGTAGCTGTTTTGCAGGAGGGATGCCTGGGGAATTGTCACATACACCAACTCTGGAGGGACTCCTGGAGTAGTGCTGATCCTACCAGCTATTTCTGCTCCTGCCTCACTGATAATCTGTTTTCCTCTGCAGCTCATCAAAGATTGCAATGAAAATGTCCAGCGCATGAAGAGCACTGAAGAGCTGATCTACCTCAGCCAGAAGATTGAATTTGAGTGCAAGGTAAGCTTGCCCATTCCCTGGGCCTTGCCTTAGCCTCATGTATTTTTGCTCTTGCCTCACAAATTCGCTTGGGCTTACTTTTTGCTCTCCTCTCCAGTATAGACAGAACTGCTGAAACAGAATGTCATACACAGGTCAGCTCTTCATCAGTGCTTCCCTCGCCCAGTTATTCATCTGAACCTTCAGCTGGAGGTGCCTACCATGACCTAGGCATGTCTAGCTGGAGAGGTGAAAGCACTCTTTTTCTAGAGAGAGGCAAAAATGCAGATCCAGAACTCACAGATGGCGATTGCCTTGTACACACCTGACATAAATTTTTATTTCTGTCTTGCAGATATTCCCACTCATCTCACAGTCGAGGAGACTTGTGAAGTGTGGTGAGTTGACTGCACTGGACTTCAACACCCTGAGTCCAAAATGGAAAGTCACCACCCGTCCCATCTACCTACATCTTTTCAATGACTGTCTGCTCCTGTCTCGGCCGAAGGAGTGAGTGCTTCAACACAATTCTTGCTGCCCCTTCTAAAAATACCTGTCTCTTTCTGGGTCTGTGCTTTGGTGAAAGAGTCCTTTCCCTCTGCCTGCCAGCAAGTGGCAGCATTTGTCAAGTCACTCTCCTAAGCCTGCATTACGTGAGTATCATGCAAGTATGTGGAATCTGAAAGTCCCAACTCTTAATTACAACATATAATAATATAACAGGATACCTTCTGGTCCCTAGTGCAACACTTCTGTGCTGCCTTTCCATCTCTGTAATGTGAAACACTTTAACAATAACCACTTGTTCTAGTTTCACGTGGTAAATAATTTCTTCCTAAAGGACAGCATGAAGACTGAATGTGGAAATCACTGGCTTGTTAAGAAACTAAGAGAGCTGTTGGTTGGTTGTGTTGGTGTTTTGGGGTGGTGGTTTTGTTTTTAAGCTGCAAGCTCGCAAATAAAATTCTGACAGGACAGAGCTTAGTATTTCTACCCTTTTCATTAAGTCTCCTCTCTCTGGCCTTCTAAGTCTTCTAGCAGGAACAAAGCTTAAGGTGCCTGAAGTGAGATGAAGACTCATTAACAGCTTTTTGCTTCACTGACTTCAGAAAACAACATGGATTATCCTTGCAACCCTCATCACCTTAAAACTCCTAACTTGCTCTGTTCCTCCTCTTTGTCTGCAGGGGTGGACGTTTTGTTGTGTTTGATCATGCTGCTTTCTCAGACGTGCGTGGGGAGAAGTGTGAGATGAAGCTGCATGGGACAAACAAAAACGTTTTCCGTCTCTTTCTGCTTCTAGAGTGGAGTTTTTGTTCCGTACCGAGACACAGTAAGGACTCGTGGTTACCCCCAGTGTATCCCATTGCCATAGCCAGACACCTCTGAGGAGCATGATCTTTGTGCCTCAGCAACCCAGATGCTGCAATACCAAATGCAGCTGCTGAGCAGAGGACTTGAAAACCATCCTCCTCCCATTACAAGCCCCCGATGTGCCACCTCACTCCTCTCACCAGAGCTACAATACTACCATGTTATGTCATACCATCAGCCTCCAAAAATGGGAGGTTTTGCCTTTTCCCTTCCCTCTTCTCCACTTCCACTCTCCCTGCTTACCTCAAGTACCCCCTCCCTGGCCCCTCCTGTGAGCAAACCTAAACCCAACCCCTGCCCCGTTCCCCTCATCAGATTGCTGTCCCCCACGTTGAATTCTGACACATATCTGGTGATGTTTTCCAGCAGTGAGAAGCTGAGGTGGATCTCTGCTTTGGCTCCTCCACGAGGAGAGCTGGACCTCCTGGAATGCCCTGGTGAGACTGCTCTGCTACTACAGCAATAGGGGTGGGCTGGCTCAGAAGAGCTGGAATCACTGGGAGGTGGAACATCCCAGAATGATTCCAAGGCAGAATACTTGCCTTTTTTTTTGTAAATAAAGAAGATACTCATGGACTTTGCCTCAGTGCCACGTTCTGACAGCTACTCTGCCTATTGTTACTGCTCATCATAAGTAAAAGGCCTGTAGTCTCCCTTCTAGTTATCTGCTTTTTAGTGTTTGGGGAGTACCTTATCCCCTACCTCCTCTGGGGTTGATGTACACAGTGTTGCTGTCGCTTTCTGGTATACCATTATGATCTTTTCTCCCCTTTAGATGCACCACAGGTTCAATGCATAAAGACTTACAAGGCTCGGGAAAACGATGAGCTGGCTTTGGAGAAAGCAGATATCATCATGGTTATGCAGTACAGCAATGATGGTGAGCAGAACAAATAATGGCTGTCTTAAATTATGGGTAGGAAGTTCCTCTAGTAGTGTAAAGTTTTAACAACACAGGCTTCAGAAGGAGCCTCTTACATCCTGATTGCTGGACTGAGAAGATGAGGAGACTCTTCATTAAGACACTTCCTTTGGAAGCTGAAAGAGGATTTTTTTCTTTGATCTTTGGGCCTTGTTGAAGGGGGCTTTGTAGGAAGAATGAAAAATGTTTGACTGCTTTGCCTCATGTTGTGCTTCTCTCCACACTTCAGGATGGATGGAAGGAGTGAAGCTTTCAGACCGGGAGAGAGGCTGGTTCCCCTCAGAACACGTGGAGCTCATCTCCAGCAAACAGGCACGGCAGAAGAACCTGAAGGAGGAGCAGCGTGTGAAGAATGCCAAGCAGCAGGTCTTCTGCAAGAAATAAGACTGTTTGGACCTGCAGAGTCTCCCTGCCACGGGGAAACCCATCTTTTTTCTATTGTGCCTCAGAAGAAACACCTCTGCGAAGAGCATAACACAGCACCTTGACAGAACCAGGTGCTTTTTGCCAAAGAAAGTGGGAATTCACTTGGGAAAAGTCATTCACTTCCTCTGTCACCAGGACTACGGCAGCAGTAGGAGGGGAAAAAAGTTGCATGTATTGCTTGCTTTGTGGTAGTAGGGAGGGACTGTAATAGCACAGAGGTCTGGGATCTGGACTTCTGAAAATACATTCCTGGTTTTGCCACTGACAAGTTGCAGGACCTTGGGCAAGTCACTTCAGAATTCTGCCTCTGTTTTCCCATCTGTGAAATGGGGTAAACGTAGCTACCTCACGGGATGTTGTGAGGCTAAATTCACTAGTATTAGCATACTGAGAGCTCCGAGTTCCTGAGGAGGAAGGTGCTAAGTGCAAAGCACAATAGAGTTGAGGAGAGTTTTCAATATCCTCTTGATATCTTGATGGTATTGATCTCCATGGTGTAATTTCCACTTAGAACAATGTACCTATTTGATCGTGCAAGTCTACTGTTCTTTAGATAAGCAAATAATTTTGTTGTAGCTAAATTCAGCTCGGTCTCAGCGTACTGTTAAGAGTCCTTGACAGCATTAGAGGATACACTGGAATTAAGCCAAGTTTTCAGAAGCCTTCCCCCACCTTGAGTGATATCAAGCTGAAGAATCTGTTTCACAAAGGTCACCTCTCTTCTGAACAAATGTCCCAGTAAGCCATCTGAAGTGACCCGTTTTTGCACTCTGCCTCCTGCTCCAGGTAGAACAAGTGACTTTTGACAAAGATTTCCATAACGGGTTGGTACATGCCCTGTACAAAACCACCATGACCAGGCATATGCAACAAAGTGGCACTTTCCTGCTGCTCTTAATCCGATCGCTGATGTGGTATTGCATGCACCATTTTGCACACTTAGAGACAACTCGGGAGATATTTAGCCACTGTAGATAAAGTCAAAATATATACCAGGGAATTGGTTCTTTTTTAGGACTCTCTGGTTTTAAGTCCGGTTTACATGCAGTCCTGCTTTTGTGCAGAACCTGTCTATTTGAGGATATGCCTTCAACTGTAAAATACTATTTCTGTGTTAAAAGTGTCTGCGTTCAGTCAATGCAAGATCAAGTATAAGAATCAATACACCAAAGAAAGCCACGTGTAGCCTTCTTGCATTTAATATATTTGAAGAATTAGTTATCTTCATTTCTCCAGCTTTCTGTCTCTGTAACATTCTGCCTTTAATTCCCATTTACATTGTATCTAGGATAGCTTATTACAGCCTATTTATATCAATAATTTTTAGCTGGATTAAAAAAAAAAAAAGAAAAGAAAAAGTTGCTTTTAGTCCTAATAAACTCATGCACTTCTCCAGTTAAAATGAACAACCTTCTGCTTTCCTTGTTCCTTAGGTTTTCATCTCAAATGTTAAGTATTCAGTATTTACTGGATATATATCCTCTATCCTCATCATTTTTTCCATACAACTCTCCTTTTTATGTGACTGTTGGGTACCAACAGCTAGATTTGGGAGAGGCAGTGAAGAAATCTTGCTTTACCAGCCATACCCAAAGGTGCTCCAGAGTGTTATCACCAGCCCCTCAGTGCCTGCTGCTGCAGGTTCCACAGTGGTGTTCTACACAACGTGTGAGTCCAGTCCACTCTCCCAGAAAGCCACAATGCAATTACTTGATTGCCTTTAAATCTACACCATGATCTGTCTGTACTTTTTTCTTTAGAAGAACTGAAGCTGGTCCCTAGCTAAGAATAAAAGCAAAGCCCTGTCTCAAATTAAAACAAAGAAGTGTTATAATCCTCAACAAGACCTGCAAATATTCAGAGTTCCAAAACACCTGCTTGTCCCAGGCCCTCATGAATTTATGCAATACATAAGTCATCAGGATCACCACTATCCCAACAGGAAGACAGAACACTGCCATGGGACCAGTTCAGTATGTGCTGTATAAGGGTCTTCTCACACAGGCAGCCTGGTGCATCCCCTACCTGTATCAGCTTTATCTTTGCTTCTTGTACCATGAGGCCACAGATGATGCCATTCTAAATCAGCAGTCATCTTGTTAAACATATTTAAAAGTCAAGATTCCTTTGCTCTTTCAACATCTGCTCTCAAAAAACAAGCAAGGAAATTGTTCATTAGAGTCTCTCAACGTGGTATGTTAAATTCTGTACGTTTGTAAGTTTCCCATCTCAACAAGAATTTCAAGGCCACTGTTGTGTCTGACAGGACTTCTATACCCTTTAACTCCTCAGATCAAAGGTTAACTTCTCCCTGTCACAGCTACAGCATTTATTTGTATATTTAGAAACATTTAAAGGTCAGCCCATGCTTCTCAGAATAAGTACTTACACCCTGACTGACTTCAGTTTATTACATTCCAGATAGGCCTCAACCTCTCACTATTTAGTTCAATTTTTAGCCCCAGCATCACCCTGCCACCAAAATCCATAAACATGTGCACTGAATTGCTTCATGCTTTTTGAACCTGATGAACATCTTGGCTTGTGTCAACTTAATTGAACCAGGACAATATCACAGTTGCATATTCAGGAGGCAGGAATCAAAGTGACAGAGTATCTGCTGCATCCTATCACAGTCTTCACTATGAGTCAGGATCTCTCCTATATTACCTGGACAAAACAAATTCAGTATTCCTATACTGAAAAAAAATGAAGCACCATTAGAGGGCAGTTATACTCATTTCTTTTTGTCTGTTTCTCATTTCTTTGTGGAAAGAGCAGCAATGAAATACAGACATGAAATGCATATTTTAAAGTTTTGGTGACAATCCAACATTCTTGTTTAGGTCACAAAATCAAATGTTAGGACTGCTGATGTTCTCTTAATTTAAAATATAAAATATATATAAATATGTGTGGGTTTAAAAGAAATGCTCACAGCACTGGAGACCTATGTTGGTCTGAAGGAAAATAAATGTAAGTATTCTCCATAGTTCTTATTCCCTTCCACAGTGTCAGAAAAAGCTGACTTTAGGACCAGTGTTCAGTAAATACACACAACCTGGCTCAGAAACAGCAACCTCTAAAGCAGTTAGTGATTTTTATTTTTGCACTTTTATCCAATATTGAAGAGGTCCCATCACATTTAAGATCAGAGCTGTTTTGTCAGTGAACGTTCCTAACAAATGCCATTTTAGTAAGAATTAACTTTCCAGCCAGTACCTCTTGCATTTGGTGGCTAAAGCAGGTGCACTGATAAGCCTAACGGTATTGTCTCCTAAATGCTGGCACCTGTTTCAGGTTATAGTCATTTAACTTAATGAAACTACTCTCAGGTGACAGCATCAGCAGGACCTTTGCTGCTGGAGTAAACCTTGAAATAAGGACAGGGTGTGCAGGGAAATGCACAGGAGGAGAATGGTGCCATGCCACCAATGAGCCAAAAAGCAAGATGATGAAGGATGCTCTGTCTTGGCAAGTTGCATTCTTCAAGCAAGCACAGTCTTTGCTGTTTGCAGACACACAAGCTGTGTTGACAGTTGGCTGGCTGCACTTCACTTGGTGGTTAGTCAAGCTGTGTGCAGGATGCAAGGGCAGAAGGCTCGATTTCTGCAACCAGCACAACCTATGTTGCAGCACAGGTCTCTCCATCAACTGCATGTGAGAAGAGGGAAGCCAGGAAAGCGAGGCTTGATTCTTGCTGGCCTTCATTTCGTGTAGACACCTGCAAGTGCACAAAGCTGGTTTGAATGTTACCTGAACAGATGACAACACTTGTAGCAGTGTGAGATCACTAGCTGCCTGGTGCTGCTCTGTTAGAGCCTTGGTTTTTCTGTGAAATGTCAAAAGGATGCAAAATTACAGCTCCCAGAAGTCAAGAAGTTCTATTTACTTCTTGTGACCACTAGTTTACGAGGATCAGGAGCACTGCTAAACGACTGCAGCCAGAACAGGTAAAGAAATCAATCTGTCTTCCTGGCAGCCCACAAGGAAAGACAACAAGGTTCACCTCACTCCTATTAACCCATCCATCACCTCACTCCTATTAACCCATCCAATTTTGTACCATCTGGGTCTGTAAGGCGTGCTGTTAGCGATACTTAAGCCCGCTCCTCACGGGAGCTCAGCGAGCAGGGCTTTGCCGTTGTGCCAGGAGCACTCTGGTACTCCACGTGCGGGGCCAGGTCGCTCCCTTCGGAGACCGGCTCGGCGGGCGGGAGGCAGCCCCAGCCGCCGCGGGTGC